TCCCCACGGGCAAACAGTGTTCACACTGAGACTTCCTGGCACAAACCAGAGATATCTTCAGGAATTGCTTTGGCATGAGATGTGTTTCTCTTCCCTTCCTGCTGATCCGAGTCCTGACTCAAACCCTGGGCCTCATGTTTCCAACATTGGGAAGGCAAATTACTGGGCTTAGCATCTGCCATCACTTTTCCTTAGTACTTAGGGTTTGATCATTGTCTCTCTCCCCAACATTCAAAATAGTTCTTTGCAGAAGACACCTGGGACTTTCTGTTCTGTTCCTTCCAAGGGAGTTAACGGGCACATAGTAGGTACTCAACAAGAGAATTCCGAGAGCATGGGGCAGCTAGTGTGCTCAGGGAGCCTTGTTTTCTGGAGAGATACAGGGCTGATCCAAAGAGCTTTTCTGTCTATAATTCTGAGAGAGAAGAGAAGGTGTGGGCAGCCAAGGAGTGAGGGAGAGCGCCAGGCAGATCATTATGTGTTCTTGGAAGCAGGTTTAATGGACTGGCTCCTAATAGCATTGGGAACAGACTCTGAGGCTCTCAGACAGGACGTGGCTGAAGCAGGAATTCCATGTCCAGTTCTAACAAGTGGCGACGCCTTATGGAAACTTTTGAAAGAGGTTCTGTTTTAGACTAGCCAGCTTGAGCTTCATCTGGTTGCTCTAGCCATCTCTCCTTGCAATTGGAAGCCCAAGACGAGGGGAAATGAAAATCACTAACCTCCTCCTACTATATGCCAGGAACTAAGTCAGCAATTTGATTACCCTAAGAATCCTAGGTTGCCCTTTGAAGAGAGTGACAAAGAAGCCCGGGCGCTTCCAGCCGCTGGGGCCTCTTTCCAAACACAGCGACCTTCTCTCTTTATAAGGCCATTTTTACTTCGCATCTCACTCCTGCCCTCAAGCCAAAATTCCCCCATTTTAACAGGATAAACATTCCCATGACAAAGGAACACTATGTTCTCTAGAGAAACATATCATTCCTGCCGAGGCTTTGTGGGTCTGGGAAACAGTGTTGGGCTGAGGACCTGGACCTAGGACTTTAGGGCCAGCCACTGAGCTCTGAAGACCCTAGCTGTGCCCAACAATGCCATGGAAATAAGAAGGGAGCCCAGGTCAGGATATTTGTTCTAATGTGTCTCTGCACCATGCAGCCAGTCCTTTGGCTCTCTCCTTCCTTTAGACAACATAATGGCAAGATGAGCATCCTTTGGGAAGTAGAGAGAGCTATATCTGCATGACAACCAGCTCCAGTTTACTTTTCTATAAGAGTGGAGAAGCAAGTGTCCTTTTAGAGTGGAGAGTACTTCCCTTATATGAACACTCATTCTTTTCTTATTTCAATGAACATTCATCCAGGATATGTGCCAGGCTTTCTGCTGGATGGCACAGATACAGAAACTAAGAAGGAAACAATCCCTGTTCATGTGTATGTGTGTGTGTGTGTGTGTGTGTGTGTGTGTGTGTGTGTGTTGGTACTAGAACTCAGGACCTAATGCTTTCAATTGGCTCTTTTGCTCAAGACTGCTGCTGTCTCACTTGAGCCAAATCCACTTCCAGCTTTTTTGGCAGTTAATTGGAAATAAGAGTCTCACAGACTTTTCGGCCTAGGCTAGGTTCAAATTGAGATCCTCAAATCTCAGCCTCCTGAATAGCTAGGATTACAGGCGTGACCCACTAGTGCCTGATCGACAGTCTTTATTCTTAAGGGGCTCCTGGCATATATACATTTTTTCATCAAAAGAAATATAAATGTATTTGAGGTCTTTTGGTTAAGCAACAGTTTCTAAATATACTCATTACCAACTTGAACCTGTGCATTTCAGCAGCATCTATTCAAAACACATCACTTTATGTCTTTGGGCTTACTAATTATGCTGTGCATTGTTACCACAATTTTAACATATTTAGGATCAGGGTGCAGCTTACAATTGACTTTGGCAGCACTTTCTTCTGCTTTTGTGAGACATCATCATGTATCTTAGAGACAATAGCAACTTGGAGTCAATGAACTATGCTTAAAAAATAACTATTGTTATCATTTTTCAACTGGACTTTTAATGGATTTTAACACAAGTTCTTCCCAGAACATGACTAGTTCATCCAGATCATGTGTCTAGACATCTGCCAAACTCCCTTAGTTTTCATGTGGAAATTTTTACTAAAGGTCCAGGGCTGCTATACCAGCTCCTGGCCACCAGAGGGGGAGAGCACATTGGAAAGGACAGATTTCTAGGCTCCTTGTGATGATCTCTCCTGCACCTAGCATACCCTTCCAGGGTAGTGTTCCCCATATCTCACTGCAGGATCAGAAGAGAGGAGAAGTCCTCTGTTCCAGAGCATCATCAGCATCATCATGTGCTGGATTTAAATGATGTCTTAGGTCCACATAAGAATTATCTGTGGTTTGATAAACTACTTCTGGAAGTGAAGACAGGTGCTAATCAAGACAAAGGTCTAGCATCCTGTATACACCGAGCTGGTGGGTGGCCCATATTGGTCTGAAACCATTAGGGATTCCCACAGTGACTTGGAAAGTTCTCCAAAGAAGCGTTCCCACTTTGGAAACCACCTGGAGCTTTACTTCTCCTCCTCTATCCTTCCCTCCTTTCCTTTTTTCCTTTCTTCTTTCCTTTCTCCTCATTTCTCTTTCCCTCTAACCTTCCCTTCCTGTCTCCTTTCCTTCCTCATTTCCTTTCCTCTTTTCTTCCTTTCATCTAGCACATATTTATTGAACATTTACTAAGTACTATGCACTGTGCTAGGAGCTATGGTCATAGCAATATACACAACAAAGTCACTGTTCTTATGAATCTTGACTTCTGAGGTGGGTGAGGTTTGCACAAATATGTACATATGAATTCTATAAAGAAAAATGCTGAGTTCTCTGGGAATGTGTAAGGAATAGGAGTATTGGGGGAAAGATGGCTCTGAGAAGGCTTCTCCAACAGGGGGAAAGTGGGATAAAGGCCACCAGGTAAGAAGATGGATGAAGAACAAAACATGAAAGCATCTAGATGTTGTCTGAAAGCATGGTGTAATTTAGAGGTCTTAGAGAGTGGTGGAGAAGGCAGCATTGTATCTAACTCCTGAGTCATTTGTGCTGGCTCATCAGCGAAAATGGTCTAGAGAGAGCTTTTCAGGATGACCATATGTGCAAGAGGCAAGCCAGCCTAGAGCAGGTGAAGAAGCATGTGTAAAGAGGATCAGCTGTTAAAGCTAACCAGTGTGTCCAAGAGGGTGGTAAGTCTTGGAATATCCTTGAGCAGTCTAGTTGAGATGAGGACTGAAGACTGGATCTGCAAACCAGGATGGAGTGAGCTACGAACAAGCATTAATTTGGGGATGACAATCATCAACATGAAAGTAAAGGTGTCTATTCTGTTTAAAAAGCTGTTTCTTCGCCATGCTAGGCTGTTTGGTGAAAACATGGAAAAGCTGGGTTTATCCTGGCTGATGTTTTTCCATAAAGGCATGAAGGAAGGAGAGTGGAACAAGGGAATCGAAAGAAGCAAAATGATAGGCCTTTAAATCTATCCTGGTCAAGGTGAGAAAGGAAGATAGGTGGAGAACATGAGTCAAGTCTCTGGAAAGTCAGGGAACTTCACGTTATTGGAGGTAGTGGCCAGAGGACAGATCTGACATTGGAGATTTCATAGTGTTTATATGGGGCTCATGCTTCTGCTACAGTAACTGATGGCTGGAAAGAAAGGTAGAAATTGCCCATAGAGATGAAAACCCAGAGAAGAGGCCAATGAGCTATCTATCTGGATATGAAAGTTACTTAGAATTATTGGAGTCTAAGAGATTTTAGGAGTACCTAAAGTCTTCACTGGATAAGAGAGGGAGCAGAAATTCAGTAACTGCAGTAAGCAGCTGGTAGGAGGAATGGTCAGATGGTATGAGCTCCAGGGAAGAGAGGTTTTACACAACCTGGTAAGGGGTGGAAGCCACAGGGAACAATTCTTCTTGTTGGGAAGAGGAGAGGAACTAGCCTGGGAAAATGGTACTAATGCAAGATTTGACAGGGGGCTTCATCCCATTTGGAAGAGACCTCTGCAACCCTTGAGCAGTGTCTATAATGGTCAGAGTAAGGAATGCTAGCACTCACATGAAGGATCAGCAGCCTCTGTCCTAAAATAAATAAATACATACATAAATAAATAAATACCTGATTTCTGAAACTCAGGGCAGGTAATTCAAATCAATGGGGAAAATTCTAGGTCATAAGTAAGAGAAAAAGGCAAATAAGAATGGCTAGAATAACTGAATAGAAAGAAGAATGTAGCACTACCAGTGGGTTACAAGATGAAACAGGAAACAGATAAGCAGTGGTACGCCAAAAGCAAGTCATGGCGTAAATCCTGGGCCGATTCGGGGGAAGAGAAAAAGAGTTCCACATGGAGGGGAAAGATCTCCCACCCAGCCCAAATGCACATGGCTTCCAATAGAACATGCCACAATGAAAAAAAAAAAAAAAGAACATGCCACAATGTTGTACTACTCCTAGGAAAGGATAGGAGATGGGCTAAACAGGGCTCAGAGGACAGGGGGACTGAGGGGGATGGGAAGTCAAACTGAAACAAGAGTATCTCCATAGCAACTTAGAAAATGTTTCTTTTAGGCCCTAGACTAGTACTGGGTGCCTATGTATGTATCAAGTGGAAAATACTGTATATATTAAAATAATGAGAAAAATGAAAAGTGAAGAGGAAAATACATCAGTTATCAGAAAGTAGAGACTTCTAACTAGTTGAAGCAGAATTGAACTTTATTCTAGGTGGGGATATTTTGAAAAGTAAAGCCATATGGATAGACAAATGGTCTCTGGCCACTCTGGCAATGCCAGCTTCAAGCGTTGGAGATAAAAATACATTTGTGTCATTATTCATCCCCCCATGTCATACTCCATTCCCCCTCGGGTGTCATTATAGCCTCAGCTGAGTCTCTTTGTGTCCCCATTCTCATTCACCTGCTCTTTCTCTATCCCTTTCACCAGTCACATGACAGATGAGTGACCACTCCCTGAAGATGTCTGACAGCCACAGCAGCCCTCTCCTTCCAGAGCCTAATTCCAGCAGATACAAATTCTATGAATCAGAGCCAAGCAGCCCTACCTGGCCTTCAAACTCCCAAGATACACATCCAGCCCTGCCCTTGCTGGAAATGCCTGAAGAAAAGGTGAGCAATGTCCCCCTTCAGGTTGTTTCACGGGTAAAGGATTGAGGGACAAGAAGGAAATAGTGCTGCTTTCTCAGATTCCCAATAGACTCAGTATTGGCCAGGGAAATGCCAATAGGAGACCCTACTCATATCCATGATGGGTCCTACATGGCCTTCGATAAGAGCATGCAGCTCTGTGTAATACCTGAATTTAAGGACAAGCAGAGAGAATACACACCAGGCTTTAAATCAATGTCCAGCATCATTGACCTTAGACTTGCTCCCCTGAATGACCCTGTGGGCCTGCAGAAAAAATGGTGTTTGTTAGAATGCAATCAATTGGTCATCTGAACACAGAACAGAGGTAGACTGGTTGGCTAGAAAAGGGAAAGGGATACAAAACTGCTAAGAGATGTTTTATGGAATATAATGTTCACACTGTGTCAGTCAGACTTTTCATTACTGTAACAAATACCTAAGAGAAACTCTTCAAAAGAGGAAAGATACATTTCAATTCATGGTTCCAACTTACGGTTAACCAGTTCTGTTTCTGTAGGTTGTAAAGGAGTCATGGCAGAAGAGTAAGGCATAGAGGAAAGCTGCTCAAAATAAGGCAGCCAGGAAGCATTCTCTCTGCTTCCCAATTGCCCTTCAAGAATATACACCACCAAGCACCTACTCCTCCATATATGCCCTGCCTTCCCAATAATGCCATTAAATTATGAGTGCTCCGTAGACTCATCCATGAGAAGTTACTGTCCTCATGATACAATCATTTTCCAAAAGCCCCATCAGCTGGCATCCAAGCCTTTAACAATTAGCCCTGTGGACACAATCCAGATACATATCATGACATGTAACGTAAAATCTATTCTCTCAAACTAATCACTTAAATGATCTTAAATAGAAACATCATTATACTCTAATTCCAAAATATTTATATTAACTGAAGAAAATAAAAAGCCCATATCCAAAAATAGTCACCTCCTATTCCACGCCCTCCATCACCTGACAACCACTAATATACTTTCTGTTCCTAAAGATTCACCTAACAATGGATATGTCACATAAATGGAATCTATAATTTGTGACCTTCTGTCATTCATCATAACATTTCCAGGTTCATCCATGTTGTAGCATGATGTAGTACTTCATTTCCTTTTAAACAAAACAGTATTTCACTATGTAAATATAACAGTTTATCTGCTCATCATCTGCTTTTATAAATAATGCTGCTATGAACTTCCATGTACAGATTTTTATGTGATCCTATGCTCTTATTTACCTCAGTATAAACATTAAGAGAACTCCTAGTTCATATGACTTTATGTGTAACATTTTAATTAACTACTAAACTTTTCCCAAAGCAACTGCATCACTTTACAGTCTCACTAATAATATATGAAATGCTAGCTTCCCTATATCTTCACCAAAACTTATTAGTCATCTTTCTTACTATATAGCCCTGGTATTGCCCTTACTATATAGCCCTATATAGCATCTCATGGTGATTTGACAGTTGATTGATATTTTCCTAGTGACAATGAGATTGAACATCATTTCAAGTGCTCACTAACCACAGGTGTTTTCTTTGGGAAAAATATCTTTTCAAATCATTTGCCTTTTTACTATTGAACTACAGTAGTTTTGTATACTAGACCCTTACCAGATGTATGATTTGAAAATAATTTCTCCAACATCATAGGGTTTGTTTTCTTTCTTGATAATGTTCTTTGAACCCTTTGAAAACTCTGATTAAATTCTATATATCTTTTTTTCCTTTGTGTATACTTTTATCTTAAGAATCAATTTTATTCTGCAAGGCCATGAAGATTTATGCACAGGGCTTTATCTTATTCAGATACTTTACTCATTATGAGCTAATTTTTGTACATAGTATTAAAGAGCCCAACTTCAATCTATTCAATATGGACATGCTAGTTGATTCACTATTATCTGTTGAAAAGACTATTCTTTCTCTACTGGAACTTCTATCAAAAATCAATAGAACATAGACGTATAAGGTCATTCTTGGACTCAATTCTATTTCATTGAATCATATATTTATCTTCATGCCAGTGCCATTCTTATATAGTTTTCTAGTACATTTTGAAATTAAGAAAAATGCATCATCCAATTTTGTTCCCATATTTTTTCAAAAAAATTTTGTCTATAGTGGCACTCTTGTATTTTGTATAAGTTTTAGGATCAGGTTTTTCATTTCTGTGGGGAAAAGTAAATATGACTAGGATTTTGATAGGAATTGTGATGTAACTGTAGATCAATTTGGGGACTGTTGCCATTTTAACAAGGTTAAATCTTCAAATCCATGAATACAGGTCAATCATCCATTTATTTAGGTCTTCAATTTCTTCCAATAGTACTTTGTATCTTTCAGCATGAAAGACTTGCACATTTTCTGTCAACTCTGTCTTCTATTATTTTACATTTATTATAGTAATATATTACATATTCTTAAGTTTTTGATGCTACCAGAAATATCATGTTTTTAATTTTATTTTTAGATTGCTTTTACCAGTATATAGCAATATAATTGATTTGTATATTGCTTTAGCCTGGAACCTTGCTGAACTTGTTCATATATTTATTTAATAGGTGATTTTGCAGATAAGGATTTTCAATATGAAAAATATACCATCTGCAAATAGAGACGCAATCTGGATTTAACATTTTCTTTTATAACCAAGGTTCCTTTTGTTCCTTTTCCTTGCCTAATTGCTTGGACTAGAATATCTAGTACAATGTTGAATAGAAACAGCAAGAACAGACATCCTTGTCTTGTTCCTGATCTAACAGGGAAAATATGCCCAGTCTTTCACCATTAAGGGTGACATTAACTGTGGGATTTTAGTAAATATTCCTTATCAATTTGTGGAATTTTTCCTTCTATTCCTAGTTTATTGTAGGTTAGCCATGTTTCAAGTACTCAGAAGCTACATGCACTAATAGATAAAATATTGAACAGCAGAGCTTTATAACAATAAGCTATGACTGAGTTGTCCAGGTACAGGATTGAAGGAGATGTGAACTTGACTGTGAAAAGTAATTTATCCTTATGTATATTACTCCTCAATGGATGTAAGCATTTACTTTAATTACAAATTTAGACAATATACCACAGTCATGTTCATAGCACCTGAGATTTCAATCACTAACACAAATTGGCTTTCCCAGGAATCTGACACTATTGTGGAGACTAGCCAGTAAGAAATGTTACTGAAGTCAGCCTCTGGAACAAACATTTATGGAAGAGGAAGGACTGTAGGATTAAACAAAAGGAGAAACTGAGCTGTGAGATAATCACAGTTGTAGGCCTTGGCTAATCCCGTGATGAGCTCTAGAACAGGAATAGCCTTACAGAATTGTCCTGAGTGGGGCAAGAAGGTCCCCTACATTCACTCATTACTAATTTGAAGTTATAACAGGTATTGGATCTAATGTATATACATAAATCACGTTCTTAAATACTGTGATAAATGCATCTAGTATAAGTGGTTTTCTCTGTAATCTTACTTATTTTATATATTTCCCAATATTATTCTGAAGAGAAGTCCATAGGCTTCAGTAAAGTACTAAAAAGAAATGGGTCAAGAAAATGTTTAAGAAATTCAGTTATAGGAATATGTAGTACTGGAAAATGGATTTGCATTATGAGGTACCCAGACAGCTGGAGACCATTGACATGGATCTCACCTTTGTCTTATTATCCTTTACCTCTAATAGAGATAGATAGATAGATAGATAGATAGATAGATAGATAGATAGATAGATAGATAGATAATCTATATACAGATATACATATGTATTCACACACACACACACACACACACACTACCCAGGTTCACACCTGTATCTACTCAAGAGGCTGAGATCTGAGGATTGTGGTTCAAAGCCAGAACAACCACAAAAGTCCCATGAAACTCTTATCTCCAATTAACCACTCAAAAACTGGTGGTGGAGCTATGACTCAAAGTGGAAGAGTGCTAGCTTGAGGAAAAGAGCTCAGAGACAATGCCCAAGCCCTGATTTCAAGCCCCCATGGCCGACAAAAAAGAAAATGCTTCTGCTTTCTAAAAGAAATATATATTGTTAAGTATGGCAGCACATGACTATGGTCCCAGCACTTGGGAATCTGAGGCAGGAGGATCAAGCTGGGCTGTATAGCAAGAGCCTTCCACAGAAGTAAAATAAGACAGATTATTTTATATCTTCTTGTGGTTTTCCCTGAAAGGACCTCCGATCATCTGATGAAGACAGCCACATTGTGAAAATTGAAAAATCCAATGAAAGGAGTAAAAGGAGAGAAAGTGAGGCGTCCCGCAGAGGCTCTGCGGGCCGGGGAGGCTTCAGCCTCTTCCAAGCAGTGGGCTACCTCACAGGCGAGATGAAGGAGTGCAGGAGCTGGCTGAAAGGTAAGCAAATGCCCAGCAAAGAAGTGAGGGGCTGGGTCACAGCAATCCTTCCAGGTTGGACACAAAGTTACTTCCTCTCTCCCAGGACAAGAAAGAGCTCCTATGACCGGGGGAAGCTTCAGCCCTCAGTCAACTCCAGGTGGGCAGAATATATGCACCAGCCTGGAATCCGCATAATTTGGAAATTAAATGCATTTCCCTAATTTAACAATATGTAAGCTGTTTCCCAAATAAGCTGAATGGCCACTTGTTCCACTGCCATTTATGTGCCAAATTGGCATCACCCTCCCCAAGGGCTCCGTGGTTCTTTCCTTTTTTCATTTCTTCTTTGAATTAAATGCTCCCCCGTTTGATCCTACTTGCCACAACCAGCATGAGTTGTCCTGGAAACCAAAGCCGAGAAGGTGGAAAACTGTACATCCCCTCGTGTACACCTGGCTTCCTCCAGGTCCCAATTCAATCATCGTTTTCACAGCTGGGCTAAAACAATTTCTTTTCCAGCTTCCTTTCTTCAGGCGACTTTCTTTGCTGTTCAGATACTTTCCCTCAGCTGAGCCATAGAACACTACACAAAAAGAGGCTTTCTTTCCTTCTTCATCCCTTCCCTTGGGTCAATGTATTTCCCAGGAATGCTCTTGGGCCTTTCTTGCCAAGAAAGCCAATGGCTGGAACTGTGTTAAATTGTTCTCAGCATGGTGCTTCAGCTTATATGGTAAAAGAACTACCACCTGCTGAAGACTAACTGCTGGGCTACTGAGATATTTGGACTAAATGCCAATCCCCACTCCCAAGCCTCTACTTCTTCACCCGGGCCAGGTTGAATGAGGGGAAGTGTTCTGGTTCCTGTGAGCCTTGATTGTCATGCCAATCAGTGGTGCAGTGAGGACAGTAAGGGCAGGACCCCACTGATGGCTCTGTCTGTCTCTTGTAGATAAGCCCCTGGCCCTCCAGTTCCTAGACTGGTTCCTGAGAGGAACCGCTCAGGTGATGTTTGTCAACAACCCCCTCAGTGGGCTCATCATCTTCATAGGACTTCTGATCCAGAATCCCTGGTGGGCACTTGCTGGGGCTCTAGGGACAGTTGTCTCGACTTTAACTGCCCTCATCTTAAGCCAGGACAGGTGAGTTTGTCTCTATGGGTCTCTTGGGAAGACGCATATGGCAGATAGGTGAAGTGTTTACTCAAGCAGTCAGCAAACCTTATCCAAGCAGACAGCCAAATCTCCTGAGTCAACTTTGAGCAGATCACTGGAAGTCCCTACAGAATCGTCTTGCTCTGGCTCACAGCAAGGCAGAGCATCAAGCTTCTTTGGCTGTGGATTATACTCAAAACACTCCCTCTGAAGTAGAAGCAGAAGGACACTTAAGACATTCTTCTCTCATGGAGATTAGAATCTAGTTTGAGGAGAGAAGATGAATGAGCAAATAAACATCTCAAAATGACACAAGACAGTAAATACTCAAGAGTTCAGAGAAGTCAGACATATCTGTGTGTTGGAAAGATGGGGGAATGAACTCATCTTTTCTTTGCACGAGTGTCTCGGGCTGCTAGGTGTAGAAGGAAATCTAATGGAAGTCTCAAATGTAGCACAGGAGGAGAGCAGGAAGGAGAGGGGAAAGAGGGACGGGAAGGGAAGACAAGAGGGCAAAAAGGAGGGGGAAGGAGAGGGAAAGAGGGGAGGAGGGAAGAGAGAGAGAAACGGGGGGAAGGAAATGCAAAGTTCTGTCCAGGGCAGGGTGTCAATGTTTTCTATTAAATTGGGAAGTGGGTGGAGGGCACTGAGGTCCATCTGCCAGCCAGTGCCTGTGTGCACAGGCCAGGAATGATTGCCATTGTGGTGCACAATGTTCCCTGGGGCTGATGTTCAGGTGTTTCCTCTGTCTGAGCCATCTTAGTGCCCCCCACCCATTTCTTAGTGTGGGGGTGGGGGCAAAGGGGAAAGACCCATGCATAGATCTATTCCTCATTTTGTTTCAGAAAAGAAATCTGAGGGCACTACATCTCTCTTTCTGATCTAGACCCTGACCTACACTGCCCAGATTAGACAAAGTGTGTCATTTTACTTCTAAATCAGTGAGAGTAATCAAGGGTAGGTGTGTGTGTAGAGATGGCCATTGAGAAAGGAGTTGGTAGCTCTGTGGCTGTCCAATATTCATTTCCTGGGCTGATTTTTTTGTCTCATTATTAAAGAAATTGTCTGAATTAAGGAGATCTTAGAGGTCCAAGAGGGAAGGTCCTCAGGGGCATCACCAAATTCCAACAAAAAGTAACTGTTTCCCCTAGGTCAGCCATCGCCTCCGGACTCCACGGCTACAATGGGATGCTCGTGGGGCTGCTGATAGCTGTGTTCTCCGAGAAGGCAGACTACTACTGGTGGCTGCTGTTTCCAGTGATCTTCACAACCATGGCCTGGTGAGAAGCCTCCTTCTCTCTTCTTCCAAACCCACAGGGCCCCACAGTGCTTGCATCTTTCACTGGACAGGGATGGATGCACACTGTTGTCGGCCCAGACCTTCACAGATGATGCTTTGCCCAGCTAGACACTGTGAAGACCACCCCCAAGTCCTGGAAGGTGGGGATGTGAGATAACAAGAGGGCCTTCTTAAGACCTCATGCTCTTATTACATGGCTAGAGATTAACATTCATTGAGCTGTCCCTAAACAAAGGACAATTTTTCCTAAGGGAAAATTGAAGCATAGGGAGTTTTATTAATCTGTTATATTCTACCCAAGTTTCTAATGCTGCCTTTCTGAATCTGAAGTCTGTGCTATAAAATCCAGGTTGCCAGGGGTCATCTATTACCAGCATAGTCAAGACTCAAAGCTGAAAACTCACCTGTGATAGAACCAGACATCTTACTTAGAAAAGACAGACCTATAAGAAGCATGGGATCTTTGAACTAGCACTATCTGTTGAAATCAAGGAAGAGTTAGGAACAAATAACCATTGAGTCTAGGGAATGCTCAGCCATCCATGCATATTGTCCTTCATCATTTCATTTACAGCAGGTCAGTGGTGTATCCATCTCAATGGCATGCCTGCTGTCCTGAGAGTCCCTGTCCCCAAACCTCTGACTTCCCATGTATATACCACTTTCATCTTAACTTCTCTCAGACATGCAGATTTATTCTGGTTCCTAGTAATAAAGCAGGCATGGTGATTTATTTTGAACATCTCCAAGAAGTAAATGTCTTTCATTGGTTTCAAAGTCTGGAGTTACTAAAAATCAGTTAGTTTAATTTAGCTTAAGTACTGTTTCATTACTTTTTAGTAGTGCTTGCAAATAAATTCCTACATTAAGCATTCCTGGCCATTTATTTTTCTTCTTGGGTTTTTTTTTCTTTCTTAATCCATTGGGACAAAAGGATAAGTCAGTCATTTCTATGGGGATTTCTGTAATGGTTCCCATACTCACTCCACCCCCATACCCTGTGGAGAGCAGAAATTTGTTCTTATTTGCATACATCTGGTTTATAACTATGTAGATGAAGCTCCTCAGCACAGCCCCTGAGCAATGACACTGGATGGCAGTTAGACTTCAGTGTCCTCTCTTCCCAATTCCCAAAGACAGAAAACAGTAATGCTCTACCCTGGGTGGGCTGCTACGTTACCCACTACTCCCATACATTCATTACTCCATTCATTCAGTCCTTGAAGTTCAGTTTAAGTAGGGTGGGTACTCATAGTGGCATTATCCTGCTTTATCCAAAACACTAGATTTGAGAGACTCTCTCAGCTGAGTGCGGGGACTAATACAGATACTGGGAATTGCTATGAACAGGGAAATGTATCTCTGAGAGTTTATTTACAAACAAACTCAGAAACTAGTAAATAAAAGAAAGTCATTTCAGGAAGTGATACCAGGCTTACGTGGTCAGGGAGGGCCATTTTGCAGATGAAACATTTCAGCTCGCACCTAAATGACAGGAGATACCTGCCATCTGCAGATGTGGTTGAAGGATGCTGCAGGTAGACGAGCCTAACCAGGAAAGTGGGAGGTTTTCCAGAACAGACAAGAACAAGGAGGCTGAGACGTAGTGGGTGGGAAGTAACAGGAAGTGAAGGCCAAGTAGGTGAGATGAGGGCTCATCCACCCCAAAGATGCAATATGTCTTCCAACTTTTATTACAACTGTAGTAAAAAATGCAAAACAGCTAAAGGGTTTTAAGCAGAGATTTTAAACAGGGTTTTAAGTATGATCAGATGGCAAATGTTCTACAGAGTTATAAACCAAATGATCATCTGATCTTTTTTTTTTTTTTTGCCAGATTTGAACTCAGCCTGGGCACTGTCCCTGAACTTTTTCAGCTCAAAGCTGAAAAAGCCACAGCTCTGCTTCCAGCTTTTTAGTGATTAATTGTAGACAAAAGTCTCATGGACTTTGTTGCCGGGGCTATTTTTAAACTACATTCCTCAGATCTCAGCCTCCTGAGTAGCTAGGATTGCAAGCATGAAGCCATTTCTATTTTTTTAATGGAGTGAAGCTCAGTGATTAGGCTAAAACTAAAACAAGAAGCAGGCATGAAAAATGTGAAATAGTTCTCAATAGTAGAGAGCACAGCAAATTAAAGGGAGAAGATTTTTAAAGATAGGAGACAGTATAACATTTCATAGACAGATAAGAATAACTGTGAGGGGCGGGGTGGAGAATTGAGGCTTCAGGAGAAAGAGGAGAGTATCACCAGAGGAATGTCCTTGAGACAGATCCATTCCAAAGAACAAGGAAGAGAATTGCCTAAGGAAGGGACAGGGACACTTTCACCAAATATAAGAGACAGAATATGTGGGACCAAAGCAGGTAAGGTATGGATTCTTAGGGTTGTGAAAACAAAACTTTTATCATCTGATCATTTCAATTTTTAATTAAGTAAAAGCCAGTGATAGGCTAAAACTAAATAAGAAGCAGACAGTGAAAATATGAAATAGGTCTCGGTGTGTTGAAGAGTTAATATGCTGGAGATCTGGAATAAGGTTTTTAAACAGGCCTAGGTACACAGGTGAAATGCAGAAATTAATTAAAGCTAGGCCATTCAATTACATCATAGGAATTCGTGTTTTGTCCAGCCACCTCTGAGGTAAGGAATGGCAGGTGCTAGGAATCTAGGAATCCATTCCCAGGAAAACTGAATATAAGGGAAATTAATTTTGTTATATTGCTTACTCATCCTATAAACATAAAAACCAGCTCAATCTATTTCCAAAAGTCATGCTCTTTCCAAAGGAGACCAAGAAGCCTGGGGATACAAGCGACTAGAGGTTCCATGTCACTTGACAGTTCCCAAGTGTTCTTAGTAGTTTTACTGAGTCCAAACCTGTGGATTTGCTTATGGACATGCAGCCTTCTCCTATATGGTCAGACTCAAAATAATGTTATCATAGTGTAAGGCAGTAGCTGGTGTACATTTGATGATCCAAAAGCATAATCATATTTTGTAAAAAATCATATTTTGTTCGATGTTTTTGTCTCAAGAATCAAAAAATGATTTGAACTCATTTTAATAGCCTATGCAAAAATGTATCTTTCAAATACATTTCACCAATCTGTGAGCTTAACATGAATACCTTGTTTCCAAATCCCCGATCAACAGACTACTGGAATCTCCAGGATCCAGAAATGATTACAACAAGGAGAGGGGGTGGTGGCTAGCACAGCGGCCAGAGATGATGAGACAGTGTCTCCCTAACGATGCTCATAATGATTAACCCTTTCTCCCTTCCATCTTCAGCCCAGTGATTACTAGTGCTTTGAATTCCATCTTCAGCAAGTGGGACCTTCCAGTCTTCACACTGCCCTTCAATATCGCCGTGACACTGTACCTGGCAGCCACAGGCCACTACAACCTCTTCTTCCCCATGACACTGGTGGAGCCTGTTTCTTCAGTGCCCAACATCACCTGGACAGAGATTGAAATGCCTTTGGTAAGTTACCCAGTGGTAATGAGCTGTAACCCCTAGATCCTACTGCACACCTGATTGGCCAGATTATAGCTTACCCAAGGCCCATGTGATAGGCCTCCACAGTGCATAAAAATGGTGGCTACTTCATCCAGTAAACCCTAGCAAATCTCTATTGAACATCTAACATGTGCCAGGCACTTTTTCAGATATTAGGCATACACGGAGAATAAGGCATCCCTACGCTCATGAAACCTACATGCCACACATAGAAAGAGAAAAACAAATCCAGTGAATAGGTAAATATTCAACTGGTGTCACAGGGTAGCTGTGGTTTACTGAAAAATATTAGATAACATAGGCAATTTGATAAAAAAAAAAGAGTGAGAAACTAATGCAAATATTTTATTTTTATTTATTTTTAATGGTGAAAATACCATACAGAGGGGGTTACAATTACATGGGCAAGATAATGAGTACATTTCTTATCAAGCATTGTTGCCTCCTCCTTTGTTTCCCCTTCCCATCTCTTCCCATCTTATATGAAGAAGCAAGTTACTATGTAACATGCTTTTCCAAGCCCTGATTGTTATATTAACTCATACCACCCTCACAATAACCCAAAACTGTAGGTACTAATATTATTCCTGACTGCAGTTTTTCATCTGCAGGACAACAGCAGTTACCCAATGCAGCTAAACATGCAGCTAGCACCTGTGCCTAACACCTGGGAAGTCTGGGAGCCTCATCTTTGAACCACTACTCCTGCAGTCCCCATCAGATCATACGCCCTCAGCTTGAATAAGCACAGTGAGATGAAACTCACTACTTCTCAAAGCAGCCCCAGCCCAATATGGGACACTATTAAGTGTTGGAGGGTTCTTTACATTCCTCACAAATCCATTTCCCTTTATATATCACCTGGGGATTCTAGTTCTGCAGTCTAGAATACTTGAAGATAACTGCTTGCACGATAGTCTTTTAACATGGTTAAACCATGTCCTCCAATGGTATGTCTATGAAAGGACTTTGGGGCCCTGGTTGCCAAGTCATTCCTGTGGTCTAGGTGTGTCCCAAGCTCCAAGAAAATTTCTGTTGGTGCTCAGCTGTACAGTCTCCACCCCCAGGATCCTCCAGGGCCAGCAACGCTCTAACTCTAAACGCATCAGGAAAGCAAATGTTCCTTTGCTTCTGGAGCAAATGCTAGGGCACACAAACACTTTCTAAAGATTTTTACCTTGTCCCATTTTACCTTTGACCCAGATTACAATGGAATAAGAGCAGAGGCAGACTTGGGGCCTATACTGAAGGGCCCATCAAGGAAAGCCCTCCTGACCGATGCAAAGCAGCCAGGATAGAAGCAGAGACCAAGTTGGGACAGAACTGTCAAGGATAAGCCCTGGGCCATGTAGGCTCACTGTCCTGATCCCTACTCTGGAGGGCATTATCCAAAGGACAGCCAGAGGCTCGTGTGGCACCCCACACTGAGAAGCTGGGCCAGCATGATGAAGGTCACAGGGAAGAGATGTCTCCTGTTCATCTTCCAAATATACAACTAGGAAATATGAGCACCTTGAGGCCCCAAGCCCACTCTCTCATCTCCCCATTAGCCCATCACTCAAAACCAGCATCCGTCCATCCCACACGAACAGCATCTATCTGAAGTTTGAAGTATCAGTACCATTTCCTCTTTCTCTAAAACAACAGGGTCAAAGGACTTCTTTTGTTCAACTAGAGTGTTGTTACACGAGCATTATAAGAAGAATAACAAGTCCAGGTGCTCAGTAAATTTCCATCACATACCTGACTGCTTTCTGCCCCAGGATGTCAGCTGTGGCCTGGAGAGTAGTGTGGTCTGGGGCAAGGTTACCTTGGTGCACGGCCTCCTAGATAAAATATGGATCCCAGCAGCGTCATTCTAAACCCAGGCTCTGTTCCAAGGCCCCTTGTCCCCTCATTCCTCTCATTCTTGACTGCTTGGGGCTCTCCACCTGTGTCCCTGGATGGAAATGGTAGAAGCTGAACTCCCTCAGCACTCTGCATTCCTCAGATGTTGGCAAGTCATGGGATGTTTATTGAGCAGATTTCCAGCATGTTCCGTACACATAAGCTAAGTTCTCCAGTCTGGTACAAAATGTCTTATAGATTTCTACAAATAACACCAGGCCCCATCCTGACTTTCATACGTTTATAGTTGGGTTTGGTTATGGCATTTGGAGACAAAGGGTGACAAAAACTTGAAATCTAAGACTCTTTCAAACACGATTCCCTAAAGAAATAAGGCTGGTTCCAAAATCAAGCCAAGATATCACTAAGAACACACTTTCATTCCAAGATGCAATTGGCTCCCCGGGTCCATAGCTGATCATCTATACTTAATCCAGGGGCCCCCAAACTCTACTGTACCTTAGCTCATAGCAGTCAAACCAGAGTGTCTCTGAAGGAGCCAGGCATCCATGTGTCTGAAAGCTTTCCAGGGGATTCCAACGTATAGAAAGGTGTGGGACTCACAGGACCAATAGTACACATTAATTGAGCACTTCCTGTGTAGCCAGCCATAAAGAACCTATCCTCGTAGAGAGTCCGAGAACCTAGTAACGGAGAAAAGCACTCCAGTATGTTACAGCAGGAAGGTCATCCGCTAGGCCAGGCTCACTAGGAATGAGGACACGACATGCTAGGGTCATACAATAAGCACAGTACATAGTACTCCCTAGATTCTACATTCCCAGGCCAAGACTCACCCTACTGTAGTCTCCCTCTTTTCATCTTTGCCTTCAAAAGACTCCATCTGGCCAAAGGAAGATCATCTGATATCAGTTCCCAACTCATCATTATCAGCCACTCTCAGGCTCACCAACACTTATTCAGTTTTTTGTTCAAGCCAAAATCTGTGCTCCCAGAGAGGAGCAGAAATGTCTTCTCCTTCCAAATGTCCCACTACTTCCCAATGTAGTGCTCAATGGGCAGCACCCACAAAGAGGACTTACTAATGGATTCTCAGTGGAGAGATAGTAAGTGACCTTAAATTAGGGGTCAACTCAAGTGGCCACAGGTCACTCTAGCTATTCCTTTTCCTCACAGCCATCAAAATGGCCCAGGATATTTCCACTATGTCTAGTAGAATATTTGAGATTTCAGGAAGTCTATAGAAAATCCCCTCATACCGGAAGCCCTCAATGGCAGCCTAGATGAAGGTACATTCTGACTCCCCCAAAGCTTCTCATAGCAGACGCCATCTCCTCAGAAGCATCCATGCCTGGCCCCCATGTTAAGGGCTCCATCTGACTGCATGAGGGATGCTGGATGCCTGGTAGGTGGTGGAGTGAGGAGCTATTTGTTCCAGCTCGTTCCCTCCCCTACTTTCTCTCACACTGGAAAGCACGGTCATCCATCTGTTCCACCCCATTACCTTTCCAGGAATGGCTTGGGCCCTAGGCCTGTGGCCAGGTCTTCACATTATCAACCCACACCCCAGTGACCTGCATTCTGTTGGCTTTGCAGTTGCTACAAACCATCCCCGTAGGGATCGGCCAGGTGTATGGCTGTGACAATCCCTGGACAGGTGGTTTGATCCTGGTGGCTCTGTTCATCTCCTCACCACTCATCTGCCTGCATGCAGCCATCGGATCCATCATCGGGATGCTAGCAGGTAGGATGGAACCCTGTGTGCAAGGAGATTTCTGCAATCGTTTTCTAAGCTCATCTTTCCCCTGTGCACAGCAAAAATTCTAGACTTACTCTCTTTGGTGGAGTTTTAAAACACTGTCAGTGGTAGGGATTTACTTTTTCCTTGCCTGAGCCACCAAACAGAGCAGACTGCAGTAGCAAGATACATGGATAGATGCAAGAGGCCTGCATGCTGTGCCCTGCAACTAAGGATAGAGGAGAATAAATGAGTGGAGAATGGGTAGATGACCAGGTACCAGCTTGGGTGCACATGGCCCAGCACTTTGAAGGTTTGAATAAGCTGAACAGAAAAGGCCTTCTAAAAGTTGGATTGGCATTGCCCAAACACCACTTCCCATCCCTAGACATATGTGTATGTGTGTGTATACACATTTATCCATGGTTCTATTCTTTCTCTTAATAGTCTGAAAAGTGGGTAGGAGGTATTGGAAGAGAATTTTTTTTTACATATTCCAATGTTTTGCAAAATGATGTTTGGAGTCAGAATTTTAATTTTTCCCCATTGGAAATAATTTTAAACTCTGTAAAAATTACATAAACAAAAATAATCCAAGAGGTGTCCATTGCTTCTTTACCCAAACATCACTTAATGTTCATGCGGTGCCCCTTTGCTGGAACAGCCCACTCTCTACATTTATCAGTGTGTACACACACAAGTTTGCTGCACCCCTTGAAACAGAGCATTAAGTTGTCATCTTGCCTGCTGAAATTGCAGCTGCTCTGGCTAAGAGGGGGTGGCTGACCTCCCCTCCCAGGCTACCCCAGAAATAGTCCCACCTCTGTGAAGACAGGGGCTTTGGAAAACAGTTCAGAGACCACTGCCTTCTGCTCACTTGGGAATCCTCTGTGTCCTCTTGTTCCACAGCTCTGACAGTGGCCACCCCCTTCGAGACCATCTACGTGGGCCTCTGGAGCTACAACTGTGTCCTCTCCTGTATTGCCATCGGGGGCATGTTCTATGCCCTTACCTGGCAGACCCATCTGCTGGCCCTTGTCTGTGGTTGGTATTTGGGAGAGGGACAATCAAGTCGCTCTGGTTATTCTCCCCCTCGTTGGTGAGATGTCTGTGCTAGCCCATCCCCAGATTAGTGAGAACAGCAAAATGTGTATATTGACCCCAACTCTAGCTACAGCCATTATGGAAGTGGGAGGGGATATGTAAGCACTAATCTCTGCCTCAAAGAATGCACAGTGAGGTGAGAGAGAGCTACAAGATAGCAAAGAACATGAGACAACTAACAGATGTCAGGATAGACTGCAGACACTGAGGCAGCAGGAAAGCACACAAGACCATGTTCTTTAAGTGGACTTCGTGGTCAGCCAGGGCAGTGGCTGAGGCAGGAGCCAGGGGCAGGGGAAGTCAGGTTTGACGGAGCTGACTCTTACAGTCTTTTCTCCTCCCCAGCTTTGTTCTGTGCCTACATGGGAGCAGCTCTTTCCAACATGATGGCCGTGGTAAGTTTGGACTCTCCTGAGAGTGTTCCCTCTCAGCTTCCAGACACCTGGGGTCTGTTGGAGAATCCTGAGTGGGTTATAGAATATGGTACTCTACCCGATGCTTATGTCAAGGTTTATTCAAGGTTCAGCTGGAAAATAATTTTGTACATGGACCTCTCGGGGGAGGGGGGGGTTGTGTGTATGTGTGTGTACTAAAAGGAAAAGAGCACAATGTATGAGTATTGGAGAACAGAGTTGGATAAATAAAGCTGAGGGAAAATGTCATCTCTAAGCCTTGTGCTCAGAGAGACCAACACTTCAGATCTCTTGACTAGCTATGATGATGTTCTGAATCCAGTAACACCGGTGTTTTCACCAGGGGTACCCATCTTCAACCCCTACACATCATTCTCCCAAGTCTCTGGCCCAGTACAAGAGTTCTGGGCCTGGACACTGGCCCTGAGCTCTTCAGCTCCAGGCTAGTGCTCTACCACATAAGCCATAGCACCACTTCTGGCTTTTTCTGCTTAGGTGGTGCTGAGGAATCAAACCCAGGGCCTCATGCATGCAAGGCAAGCACTCTACACTGAGCCACATCCCTGCCCCCAGAAATGTTCTTTAGACACCAATGTTTTCATTTCCAGGTTGGTGTGCCATCAGGTACCTGGGCCTTCTGCCTCTCCTCACTCATCTTCCTGCTCCTAACAACCAACAACCCCGCCATCTACAAGCTCCCACTCAGTAAAGTCACCTACCCAGAGGCCAACCGCATCTGGTACCTGACGATGAAGAGCAGTGAGGAAGAGAAGTCTCCCAGCGGTGATTAGCCCAGCTCCAGGCCGAAATGTTTTTGCCTGGCTCCCTGTGGCCTCCACTTTGGGGCCATCTGCTCAGCACTCGCCTTCTCTGCCTTTCTTTGCACCTGTATCGAATCAAGCACACCTGTGCCTTCCTCTCCCTGAGGCTGATTTTCCCCCTCTGTTCAAATTTTCATAACCATCCTGTGTACATTATTAAAGGAAGTTGGTGATGAGACTATCAGAGATAGAAATAAGGAGTCTGATTTACATGGTGTCGGCATAAAACCAAAATCTTTTGGAAAAATAAATAAGAGATTATCTTAGCCGGATGCCAGTGGCCCATACTTGTAATCCTAACTACTCAGAAAGTGAGATCTGAGGATCATGGTTCGAAGCCAGCCCCTGCAGGAAAGTCCATGGGCCTCTTATCTCTAGTCAACCACCAGAAAACCATAAATGGAGTAGGGTTCAACGTGGTAGAATGTTACCCTTGAGTGAAAAAAGCTCAGGGATAACACCCGGGCCCTGAGTTCAAGCCCCACAAATAAAAAAAGAGAGATGATCTTCTTGACCTAAGTAATAGATGTTATAGAACTGAACTTGCTGAGTGGCTCTTGGGAAGCCATGGAAGTGGGAGTTGAGTTAAAGATATTTGCTAGAAGGCGAAGGTATCCACTGTGGCGCCTACTGCCATACACAGAAAAAGAGGAATTGCTGTATACAGAGACAGGAATTTTATAGTGATAGTGCTTGGAGTTTTAAAGCCTAAACATGGACAATTAGAGTACTGCTAATATTTAAATGAGCAGTCTTGAACATTGAAGTGTTCACATCTAGCAGTAGTCAAGGCCTCTTTCCCTAAGACTCATGATCAAAAGTCAATTTCTTCATTACTGTGTAAAATAAAATGCCAAATAGATTACCCCAAGAAAATATTCCATTTCTCCAATGCTTTGAGCCTTTAAAATTCTTTCACTACTTCCCTCCCCAGTCCCCTAGTCCTTAAGACACTTGTACTTTTCCAACCATCTCCCACCCTACATTTGTCTGAGATTACTGATCATTTTGAATGTGTTTTCCTTACAGCATGCCTCTTCTTCTTATAAGAATCCTTACTTAACCCTGAATTATGCATTCCCAATGATTCTATGTCCATTTGGAGTTCGTCAATTTAACTAAGCATTCTTAGTAAAAATCATTCTTCCCCCTTTTTTTTGTTGTCTCCTGTCTTCCAGTCTCTGTTCTGATTCATTCATTACTTGTGTAGAACTCATTCATTTGAGTATTTTATTCAACTAATGCATGAGGGAATATGCATATCTACAAATGGCATTTTGGTGAATATCAAGTCTCTGTAGTTCAACCAACTCCCTCAGTTTTCTATAGATTTTCTTCCTTCATCTTTTGTCTCCCAGATTTTATAAATGAGAATTGAGTCTGAGGCCAAGCTCATTCATTTTCTTTATAAGTAGCCTAGGCTTTCTTTCTGGATAACTGTAAGATACTCTTTGGACTTCAGAAATTTTAGGAAATTAAGACCAAATGTTGTTTCATCTAATGAATCTTCTTTTGACCTATAAGCTCATGCTTTTCTTTAGCTCAGAGACTTTTCTTCTAATATGTGTTTGTTACCTTTTCTCCATCTCTTCCATATTCTGTCTCTGGAATTCCTGTCGCCATATGCTGGTGGTCCCTGTTCTCAGTCAAGTTGCTTCACTATATTTTACCAGGTTTGCTCTACATTTAGATGTAGAGCATCTTGGCCTTCGAGCCACTGCATCAGGTTCCAACACTAACTTTCTTTTCTTTGACTTGATAGATACATCGAAATTGTTGATTGGGGGGAAAAAACACATTTCATGAAATTTGAGGGATGGGGACTGAAGTTGAATCCCCATGTCAATATCTATTATTTTGTTATTGTAGTCTATCTCCAATTTTCTCTGAGGTCAGATACAACTTCTGGTAACTTATGGCATCAAAATTCAACCAGTTTTCCCATCCCCTTGTGTTGGTTTCCCAAGGCTGTCGATGTTCACAACCATGTGGCCTGACCTCATTCACTCATTCATCCAGAAGACACTGCATGAACAACTATTAATGTGTTTCTCAGTCCCCAGGACTGACAGTAAGCCAGGAAAGAATCAGACAAGTCCCTGCCTTCAAGGAATTCATTTTGCAAGGATGTTGTTGGCCAGATGAATATTCTCACCTTAGATAGAGGCAAAGCTGGTACCTCAAACTAGACTGCTGACACACACTGGTGTTCCCAATTTGAGGAAATTACCTGGTCAGTTTGGTCCTCTGTTTAAGAATGGTATCATGTATATTTTAAGAATTCCAAGAGAAATCCTGTGCCTTTACACCTCCTAGTCACCTGTTTCCATTACCTGTTACCCAAACATACCCAGCCATCCCTTTGACTCAAGGCTTTGAATCTGTTAAAATGTAAACAGTCTCGAGAAAGTAACACAGGAAGCATGATCAGTCACTTGCATCTTTGGTGGAAGAAGTCATTTCTGAGAATAGGTGTGATGAAAAGGGAAGGGAGTGTACAAAGAAAACACAGGCAGCACATTCTGAGACAATCTTTGGCAAAAGCCAGCATGCAGAGAAGACAGGCCAAATAGGGTGAGTGAGGGGCTGCAGTGCACTTGTCCCATTGGGAATGGCACTGGGGCTGCCTGGATTTGATTTTAAAAGAAGAAATAATCCCAGCACTTGGGAGGCAGAGACAGTTCAAGGCTAGATTGGGCTACATAGTGAGATTCTGTGTCAAGAAGAAGAGTAAGGGGGCTGGGAAGGTGGCTCAGTGGTAGAGTGCTTGCCTTGCATGCCTGAGGCCCTGGGTTCTATGCCTCAGCACCACATAAGCAAAAAGAAAAAAGCTGGAAGTGGCGCTGTGGCTCAAGCACTAGAGTGCTAGCCTTGATTTAAAAAAAAAAGTCCAGAGACAGTGCCCAGGCCCTAAATTCAAGCTCCAGTTCTGGCACAAGAGAAAGAAAGAGAGAGAGAGAGAAAGAAAGAAGGAAGGAAGGAAGGAAGGAGAGAGAAAGAAAGAAAGAAGGAAGGAAGGAAGGAAAGAAAGAAAGAAAGAAAGAAAGAAAGAAAGAAAGAAAG